ATTGTGTGAAACCTTCGACCCGGTGTGACCGGACTGCAAGATACGGCAATTTCACTAATACGATAAAGTGAAAATAAAATTCGTTGTAACATGTTTAAAATTAAACCCCATTGTATAAAAACATTAATATAATCCATTGATTGCCGCAGGAGTTCGATTCAAAACAATAGCTAGTCTAGCAAGATAATTATGTTTTTAATAATCGAGACTAAATAATTCATTCAATGCCTTATACATAAATGTAGCTCTTACATAAGAAGTTACAACCTGACACTGTCTGATAGAAAGATTCCTTCAGACCTTTGTCAGACACCCACATACATAACATTTCGTTACTAAATGTGTGCATCTGTTTTTGATGTTATAAGCACAGCGGAAGAGCGTTCGCTTCCCGCCTCGTCAAACTACTTCCCATATGGTCGGCAGCTTGCATCTCCACCCACTCTCATAACAAACGATACACTTTATCGTGACGTATTCAGTACAACTGCTTTATAAATAAACAATTACATAGATACAGGATTTAATGGGACGCAAAAAGTGTACACTGTCTTGTGAGCAGAGAATACGATCAAACTTTAAGAAGCTTTTTATAATAATCAAAGTGTTCAAATCTATAACACAGTATATGTATGCTATAGGTAAAGATAAATCTGTGTTCGAACTTAACTCATTTACGTCTAACGTGAAGCAAATACGGTCGATACTGTGGAAAACCACAATAGAAAGTTGATTCACATTTTCTATCGACTACGCTGCAAAAGGCAACTCGGATACGATTTAACAAATTGTGTGACTTCATTAAATTTCCAACGTGAGAAAAACAGTTTTATTAACAAGTATCGGTCGCCCGTGGCACCGTCTGTGTGGATTTAAAAAAAAAACTTAAGTAGCCTATGAGTTCTTCCAAGTCAGTTCAGGTCTACATCTATGCCAAATTTCATCTAAACATTCTCATTTATAATATAAGTAAGATGTGGAGTAATAACTAACATTATACGAAAGGAATTGAATGTACGTCTTGTGATCTTTTGTATTATCATCACGTCACCGTTTTCTTTCAAACATGCCATCACACTTGTTTTGTGTTACGTGGGATTGTTTTTTTACAATTACTTTCGCATTCGAATGTCGACGTATATCAATGTAAATGACAATACAAGGGAACGCGTAGAATACATAATATCTTATTAGTAGTAAATATTTTCGGATTTCAACCTAGTCTGTACTATGTCGTATTATTGCCATCGTCTATCAATTTAGTAGATCGAAGTTTAATAAAAATAATTTAACGATAGAAGCTTTTATAAGAGAAACTAAAACCACAATTGTAAAATAATTTTTGTCAGCAATACAAAAAAAAACAATGATATCGCCTGTACCTAAAAACTAACTGTCTTGAACGAACAAAGATAGTAGCTGCGCAGAAAAATATTGCAAAAAATGTGAACAGCGAATTTTTTGTTTGTTTAGAGATTGTAGTCAGACACAACTAAAGAGAAGACAGCTGTTTAAACTTTGAAGGTGAAAAATGCATCTTACGATTTCTGAGACAAAAATCCCCTTATAAACATATTGTTATCTCTGTATTGTCAATGATAATGACAGGGAGGACAATATAATTTAAACAGAGATGTTTAATGCTATAGAGATGTCAGTTTACGTATTACAGTAATCAATCAAGCCAATGGCGAGTTTGCTTTACCAAAACATTTATTACTTCTTTGTCTCTTTCATTAAGATATCCTGATGATGAAACGGCAAGACTTATGCGATTAATTCGACAAGGTCATGATTTTGAAGATATTATTACAACCAATAATAAAAACGTAAATCTACAATATTTATTTGACATCTACTAAGCATTGAGGTTGCAAGTTATATACGTATGACGTCAATAACCTCTTTAACACGGTGCCGTGATTACAAAACGACTTACACCCGGTGCAGCGTTTTTATTACATACACAAAGCGTAATTGTGTTGTGTTTTTTAACGTACAACGTACAACAGCAACTTTTATTCAACGGGATTTTATCAGTTTTTTTGTTTTCATCAATGCATCATTCTCCATGAATATGAATTAAGGTTAATTTAGACAATAACCTTCATATCGAAGAGAAACCTGGCTTATGATTATATTATCTCGACTGATCAAAACATTTTGTTATCGGTTGTTAACTTTCTATCAATTTTTATATTCGACCGATAAGTCAATGTTGTTCAGCACATCATAAAAATATATACGTTGCAAATAAAACAAGAAATTATGCAAACAGCTTAGAATGCGGATAGATTTTTTGCAGAAACGAAAGCTCGATTTATAATGCCGGACGTATATACCAAACCACTTAATCGCATGATGCGCAAAACCAAAGGAACTGCTGAAATAACCCAGGCTTCTAAAAGGGTACCTTAAGTTGTGTTAGTTTGAAAATACCTCTGGAGAGCTGGGGATAGACTATTCCCATACACATATGCAGAGAGCTAGAAGTCTCATTAGGATCTCGCTTCTTAAATAGCAATCGTTAACTGCGTGTACCTGCTACATGTCTGCTCTATGTCCTCTGCCAAACTTTGTTGTTTTTATGATAGCATAGTAGTGTAAATGAAAATATCCGGCCGGTACAGAGTTAACTAACGAGGCAAGTGGAGCACGATAACCGAACGAGGCACCGCGCCCGGAAGCCAACAATCACCACCAGTGCTGTACACTCTATACTCTGTTAGGGTTTGCGACGAACACCAAAATATACAGACGTAAAATACATAAAACAAACAATATAGCATAATTAATAGAGTGGACACGAAAGAATGATAATTGATATCCATCACAGTTAGAATTAGACCAATTTACACTGACATACACTTATATAAATGTAATTGTCTGATCAATTTAAGCAAACATGATTAATATATAGGTATAACATTCGCGAAGTAATCTATATGGACAATGCGTCATTTAGTCCAAGGAAAATTAAACATCGGTAATTGTGTTAAGTATAATTTGACATGAAAAGGAAACTTTTGCAAGTATCGCAAAATGCGAGCCACTCGTAATAAGCGAAATTATTATTTAAAAGGATGGAATCACTGTAAAATACGAGTTCCAAACGAAATTCAAAACTCAATCGAACAAATTGCGAAATAAATAATGCATAATATTGTGCTCAGACTAAAGTATTCAGACGCTTTACTACATACTACTAATGCTAGATTTACTACTCTAGAACTTTAAATTTAACAAGTCTTCTGTAACCTACCTTCAGACAATTTCCTTTAAAGATTTCACAATGATAACGTATTTATAATTAAAAAAATATAATTCACTGAAACACGACTAAATCTATTATAGAATCGCGGCGAAACTGTAAAATGCCCGCACCTGCGATACCTTATCGAAAACTCCAACTCTTCACAACAATCGGTTTATCTGTCAGCACCTGATAACGAAATACAGAAAACTAGCGACACACTCGGCCATTTTACTAATAAAAGTGAATTATTTCCCATTTTCTACTGAATACCGACGAATTGGAAAAACATGGTCGGTTGAGTGATAGCTTAAGTAATTTGATGGTTGGAATGGAATGTATTATTGTTAGAAGGTGGACATGTTGGCAAATTGAAATATTGGTAGTTTGTATGAAATTTTTGTATGTTGGTGTATTGGATGGTTGAATTAATGGAAGTTTGAAAAAGTGAAATGTTGGCAGGCTGGAATGATAGAAGATTGAAAAGTTGGAATGTTGAAGCTTAGAATTAGAAGGTGGATGTTGTGAGGTTAGAGTGTATGTTTGAAGACTGGACAGTATAAATTCTAATCATTGAACTACTTGATAAAGTATGTAACCAACTAGTCAACAGATTGCTTTTCTAACATACTACTCATTACTTTCGTCTTGCTATTTAGTCTTACTAATATTATAAATCCGAATGTTTGGATGGATGGATGTTTGGTTGAAAGTATTTCCAGAATGTCTGAACGGATTTTGAAGAAATTTGGTACATATAATCTGGAAGATCACATAGGCTACTTATTAAGTTTTTTTTTTAATTCGGTAAATCTGAAGAGATCCTTTTATTCTTAACATATTATTTTATAAGAAATAATTTACCTGAGTTAAACTCAAGTTGTGATATAATACATTCTGATCTTGATGCAATATTAATATTCAGTGTGGTACTATAACATGTTGTTTACATAATAAAAGCAGCAGACTGCTTGCATTTTACAACATACATTGCCCAAATTAAATTTGCGATTGATAATTTGATTGAATGTTTTATTCCCATACATCACTCTATTAACAGTTAAAAAAACATGCAAATTACAAGCTATTTTCTCAAATAATGTCTTACAGAACAATTCATTAACCTTTGTTACATTTATGTTATGATCAATTGTTCTGACCACTTAACCTAAACTTACTCTTATTTTTACTTATTGAGTAGTAATAATAAACCATAAAGTTTTGATTTTCTCTACAATATGTTCATGGAAATATTAAATACTTGTAGCCATACTTCTTTAAAAAAGTACTTCTACCAATGTTCTTCATACAGTTTTTCATCATCTCTCTGGCCTTATCCCATGTGAATGAGATAGGTTCGGCATGAGGTTTTATGAACTTTAAAAAAAGTATTTGTTGTCTTTTTTGTTTGTCCACAGGATTAATTAGATAAATAAACCAATACACAAAAATTCCCTTTTCAAAAGCCCTTTCTTAATGCATTTTTTCAAACACAAAAAGGTATTGAAGTTAGCTAAAGAATGTGTTGTCTGAATACTTAACACTTCATAGAGTCATAACAATATTCATTTATGTGGAGTATATGTATTAGATTCATCACAATATATTAATAAAACTGAATCAAAGTATATTGTCATTATTTCATCATATGAACCAGAAAGCACTACAGCTAAGTGTGACTGTGATAAGAGATCTCACTGGGGGAAGTCTCCAGTTTTGGTATGCACAAAGTGAATACTGTTATTACCTGAAACTTTTCAAACTGTTCACGCTCAGCATCTAGACTATTCTTCTTTAGCTGGAGAACTCGAGGAAGCGATAATGACGCCATAGATTTTACACATGCAAAATACTCCTACGGATTATAATTTCAAGGACTACGTTCTGATGTAGATTGTAACTTGAAATCCACAACACTTAATACCATAACCACTGTATTATAAATGCGACCATTAATGATTGCGATAACTATCAAATAAACAAACAATTTCGAAAGTGAAAGAATAAGGATTAGAAACGTCTATTTTGTCAACAACACGTCCGCAACGGCAAAGAAAATTTGATAAACTGAAATTGACATTGACAGCTTGACAGCTTTGACATCATTTGACATATCAAGATTGAGAGCTACAGAATAAAAAGATGTATAAACTAAAAACGCGTAGTCGTAAGTCGTCATCCGTCATCGTTCTTCTCTTGTTATTGAACAATTTCGAGTGCTCCTAACTCTTTAACATTACCTGAAACCATTTGCCGCAAATGATGATGATTTATATCATGACTTTGACCAAATGACATTTGAGGACAATTGACATTGACAACTTTAGGAGCGACTGCGATGCGAGTTTTTTGTTGTGAACCGCCAGAAACGCGCGTGGAAATTCCAATAAAAGAAGAAAAAGAAACATAAATATTGCACAAAAATATTTTATCAGCCCAGTCCACTCATATACTTAGGTGTATAAGTGATAAAAACACAATGGAATTTCTAGAATACAATGATGTATCAGCTGAAATAAAGGGAGCTATGGTATGTCGCAAATTCAGCATTTCGTTGTTATTTAAGAAATTATATCAAATTAAAATATTCCATTATGTACTTTACAGGTTCCCGGTCGTCTAAAAATGACTGACCAAAACATAATATTCAAAAACAGCAAAACCGGGAAGGTGGAGCAGATATCAGCAAATGATATAGATTTAGTGAACTTTCAAAAGTTTATTGGATCATGGGGCCTGAGAGTGTTTCTGAAGAATGGTACCTTGCACAGATATGGTGGATTTAAGGATGGGGTATGTAATTTAAAATAGAAAATTTTATTTACACACATATTGCTCAATCGAAGTTCAACCAATGTTAGATTTTATAGTGAAAAGTTTACTGAAGTAGAAAATTATGCTGGTTGTTTATAATCTGAGTTGTTATGAGGTTACAAACCACTACAGATGATTACAGCAAACACCTAACTTCATTGGTTGTGCTTAGTTCATAATTGAAACCATATTAATTTTCCCACATAACCTTAAAAGTCATATTACATTAATTTTCTCAGGAACAAGAGAAGGTTGCAAAATTCTTTAAATCTAACTATAACAAAGATATGTTGGAGAAAGAGCTATCACTGAAAGGTTGGAACTGGGGTACAGCAAAGTTCAATGGTGCAGTTCTAAGTTTCAATGTTGGTTCCAACACTGCTTTTGAGATACCACTGCACTATGTGTCACAGTGTAATACTGGTAAAAATGAAGTCACACTAGAATTCCATCAGGTTTGTAAATATTTATTTGTATATTATTGCTTAAGAGTGAGTTTCCACTATTATAAAATGACACAAACTTATTTGATTTTAAATCTGATTTTTTTAAATCAAAATGGATTCTACAGGTTTATATCACTTATATTAGCTTAAATGGACCTAAGCGATGAAAACAATTATGTATCATAGTATCCTTAAGATTTGTAATTCTTTTCATTGCTCAGATTGACATGTGAAAGTTAGTAATACTAATGAACTTCGCATATATTGTAACACTAAGGAAAAGTATTAGGTTTAGACCAAAAATCATAAATGTTTTTTAAATAATTACTTTCATATACTTTTAGAATGATGATACTCCTGTATCACTTATGGAGATGCGCTTCCACATACCAACCAATGAGCTGTCAGGTGATATGGATGCCGTGGAGGCCTTCCACCAGCAAGTCATGAACAAGGCCAGTGTCATATCAGTCTCAGGAGATGCTATTGCCATCTTCAGGGAACTACAATGTCTTACTCCTCGGTAAGCCAAAATTTTAATAAAAAAGTTTTATTTAATTCGGCAAGGGTGGGAAAATTTTTATTTATGTAATAATTGGCCGGCCAGGCATTGCGCAATACTTCACAGATTAAGATACATAAAATACAGTTACCTTGCATCTGGTTAATTCTTGTTACTTAAATAGTAAGTACCCTAAGTGTTGAAAGCCCATCAAACTGCCCTGGAAAGTAGTGTATTGCCATCCTACTGATACTGCGGGTGATTCTTCAAATGATTAAACTTAATGTACAGTGTTGCTATAATAATTTTATTGTATTTTTCAGTGGTCGCTACGACATTAAAGTGTTCCAGACATTCTTCCAACTTCATGGTAAAACATTTGACTACAAGATACCAATGTCTACAGTACTAAGGTTGTTTCTACTACCACATAAAGATACAAGACAAATGTTCTTTGTTGTGTCATTAGACCCACCAATCAAACAAGGTCAGACTAGATATCATTATCTAGTACTTTTGTTTGGTATTGAAGAGGAGACCAGTTTGGAATTACCATTTACAGAGTAAGTTTATACTAGCTGTAGCCCATGACTTCATCATCATATGCTAAATTTCAGCTAGATCCATGCAGCTGTTTTGGAGACCTTGTAACAAACATAAATTCATCCATTGAAACATTTCCATTTATAATATTAGTAAGATACATCAACAAAATAAATATGTATATATTTTCATTGAACAGATTCTTAGGAAACTTTGTTAGTCTCCTTTTATTGAAATTTTTGTTTGTAATTTTATTAAACAAAATATTTATTACACATTAAATATATTTTAGTCGTCATATTAATTACATATCTTATATGTTTACTAGGGAAGAATTAACAGAAAAATATGAAGGTAAAATAAGCAAAGAGCTGTCCGGTCCTACTTATGAAGTGCTCGCTAAAATTATGAAAGTCATTATAAACAGAAGAGTCACTGGACCTGGTGACTTCTTGGGGTAAGAAGTTTACTTTTATTAAATTAAAATTGTTACGTATCTAACACTATTATAGCCAAAAAAAATTTCAATATCTCATCACAAAAGTTTTTTTTTATTTAGTAAGTCTGTCTGTCCTTGGCGTAATGACACATAATCTGTAAATTATTTATATATGCGCCAGGTCAAATAATTTTAGGAGATTCAATGTTTGTTTGTCCTCTTCTATAATTAAAATTGTCATAATAATTTTTACTTATTAACATTCAAGAAGTTTGACATGCCAACTTAAATATTCGGTATATAGATTTAACATGTGCGCATTTTTATTGTATTCCAGCCACCACAAGACACCTGCTATCGCCTGTTCATACAAAGCAGCAGCGGGATATTTGTACCCATTAGAGAAAGGTTTTATCTACGTACATAAACCGCCTGTACACATCCGCTTTGAAGAAATCGCCTCAGTTAATTTCGCTAGAGGTGGCGCTTCATCTACCAAGTGAGTTGTATTAACATGTTATAAACATGTTTCCATTGCTGTGACACATGCATCACATATTGTTGTTTGTTATACATTTTTGTTAAATTAATGTATTTCGAACATTCCAGATCTTTCGACTTTGAAATAGAATTGAAGTCTGGCAGCATCCATACATTCAGCAGCATAGAGAAAGGAGAGTATGACAAGCTCTTTGACTACATCACATCAAAGAAACTGCACGTCAAGAATACTGGCAAGAATGTAAGTTTTTTTTTTATTTTACATCTTCTAAATTTAAACATATAATATTTTTAATATCTTCTTAATTTAAACATTTTGTTTTTAAACGTTTGACGACATTGAAACGTTGTTACTGATTGGTATTGTGTAGGACAAGGCGCTGTACGACGATGACTTTGGCGACTCTGACACGGAGAAGGAACCGGACGCGTACCTGGAGCGCGTGAAGGCCGAGGCCAAGGAGCGCGACTCCGGAGACTCCGACAGCGAGAGCACCGACGAGGACTTCAACCCTGACAAGGCTAATCAGAGCGACGTCGCTGAAGAGTTAGTACACTTTGTTTTTTGGCTACGTCTCAATAATGCGCATTTTGAAAGCGATACGACTTAGGATTCTTTAAGAAGCGACCATTTATCTTACTCAAATGCCGACTGATTCTATAAAAAAAATACATTAAATGATCACAAAATTGTATGTCTGATAGAAAATGTGTTAAATCTAAATTTATTTTTATTCAGGTATGATACGAATCCGTCGTCGTCCGAAGAGTCTGACGCTTCAGGGGCATCTAACGAAAGTAAGAAAGAAAAGAAAAAAGAGAAGAAACCTAAGAAAACAATCACAATCGTAAGTTTTATTACCAACAATTTTAGGTACATTAATATAATTTGAAAAGTATTAGTTTAGTTCATTCGTATTCATTTTAAACTCAAAAAAAATACGTTAAATCACTTTTCTGCAGTCAGAGGCTCCTCGCAAAAGAAAGGAGAAATCAAAGAAGAGGGAGAAGGACGCGAACGCCCCCAAGCGGCCGGTCACCGCGTTCATGCTGTGGCTGAACGAGAACAGGAAGAAGATTATAGAAGATAACCCCGGCCTCAAGGTCACAGAGATCGCCAAGAAGGGCGGCGAGCTGTGGCGCGACCTTAAAGATAAATCTGTTAGTATTATAACGAATTTTTAACTATTGAACATCTGTTTAAGAACGTATATATAATATATTTGGCAAAGTAACTTAATATATGCATAATCATTGAATTAATTTAAATTAAACGTTCTACATGGACCATAAATAAAACATTATGTAACTTATGTTAAGGAATGGGAGGAGAAAGCAAGTAAGGCGAAAGAAGAATACAACACAGCAATGAAGAAGTACAAAGACAGTGGAGCGGCAGACGAATTCAAGCAGAAGAAGAAGGCTGCGGAGAAGGAGCGCAAGGCTGCCGACAAGAAGAGTAAAGCACCGCCGCCTACCAAGAAGTCCAAGCCCGCTGCAGCAGCGCCCCCCAGTGGCAAGTTCACCAGCAAAGAGTACATTGAAGATGACGACAGCTCCTCTGACTCCGATAAGGAGAAGAAAAAGGATAACAAAGATGTAAGAACACTAGCTTTTAAATGAATTTAGTACAATTGCATATACATACATCTAAGCTATGACATAACTTTGAACTTGAACGAGGAATACAAAATGTTTGTAAACTTTGTAAAATTAGAAAAATGTATTTTAGGAAATCTTTTACACTATTTTAATATCCAAATTATTTTATTATTAAGGTTTTCTTTTTCATTTTAATGTTTTTAATTTAATTAATCTTTTTATCAGTCCAAGGATTCTAAGAAGGAGAAGAAAGACAAGAGCTCATCTTCAGAAGCGGAAGCCTCTTCGGGCTCCGGAAATGAAAGCGGAAGCGGGAGCGGGAGCGATTAGTCATAACTGTAGCTATTAATTACTAATAAATATTTGAAATTAAGTTTATTTGTATTAAAAAAAAAACTACTAAACAAATGTAAATTGGATCAGATTTCGATGTGTTGGAACTGTGCTGGCAGAGTCGAGTCCAATGTTTTTTTTTAATAGTGTTTTGTATTTCCTTTTAGGTTGTTTCGCACCATTTCTTATTATCCAGATCTGTGTCTATAGAATGTAAGCAGTCACATTTCAGTATGCCATAGATAAAATTTTAACATTTTTTTTTTTAAATTACTAGTTGATTTTTCATTTGAAAAAAAATTATTCTATCGTAAAATATCTACAGAACCCTACATTCCTCTTAAAAATTTCATAATTGTATATATAAATGTGGTAAGATATTTCTAAGAATATGAATGTTGTAAAACAAGAGTTTGCAATGTATTGCCTTTTCAAAAAAAATATTGATTTGCATTGTTTATCATACCAGTGGTGTCTTGTGCCAATAAATTGTGAGAGCTTGAAAATATGCTTTGTCTTTATAAGTTCTCAATTATTGTAGGTACTCAATAAATTTTTAAATGTTTAACTTGTATTTTATTTTATACTACATTGCCACTATAGATATAGAGTTTTTTTGAATGTATGCCAGTCGGAAATACTTCACTCCAATAAATACTTTGTCATTTACTTCATAAAATTTTTAAAAAAATTGATCTAGCATACATATTTATTCCAAGTGTAATAAAGACCGATTATATAGTACTACTCTACCCTTAGTTTTCTTTGTAAGTGGACGTGAACAAGAGGGTGCGTCGTTTACCTGCAGCGTTTAGTTAAGGGGATATGGCGCGAAAATTATTATTCTATGTTCCCGTTCCCCAATACTTTTTTGCTGCATTGGGTCTTTTCTTATTACACTTCTTGAAACAACACAATAGCGTTTTTTGTTACAAATCGTTTATGACACGTAAACGCAAAGTTTTATTTTATAACCGTTTATCCCATGGTTACACAGTAAATTATTTTGCCGTTATATTAACGATCACATTTCTTTTGTCTTCCAATTTATATCTTTAACAGCGTAACAGGAGTTTGATCGCAATCAAGAATGTTATAAGAAAATGTACAATAAATTGTCAGTATCACTACTGTCATCCTGATAATGTTAGCATAAATATATTACGATGATAAAACAAATAGGTCGTGTGTTCCAAATTTTACTAATAATCATACACACTTTTGAACATCTAATGTTATGTGACGACGTGAATCCAGATTACCCCGTACGAGGAAATCCCAAGAGGGAAAACCTAAAACAGTGATTCGTTGACCACTTCTCCACAGAAAAAATGTATCTTTCAAAGAGTCATGTGCCAAGAAACGCTTTAAAGCATATTAGACTTAAAATTAAAAAAAAAATAAGTGGTTAATTTGTTCAGTCTAATAAAAAAAAGAAAGCTCTAAAAAGCAAAACTTTTATTTTCTTATAAGACATGATTTGTTCCCAAAATATTTTTTGGATTGTAAACAAAATAAAATTTGTTATAACAAAAAGACAACTCACGACCGTCGTAACCCAGAGAGGTAAGTAGAAAATACGAATACGACTTCCATCATTCCATTTGGCGCGGATCTGCCAAATGCCCCCTTTCTCACTAACAATTATAGATACCCTAAAATTTTGATACATAAGCGATCTGTTTTAATAAAGTTATTAAAAACATATTCTATAAAATGGTCTAGGAAGTGTGTGTGTGTTTGTCTTGTGTACCATTATCATTGCATTTGTCTACTTCTGTAGTTATTAGTAATGACAAAGTTTATAAATTTTCGTATTCGTTAAACATGCAAGAAACGAAAATACTGTCATGAAATTGAAAAATAGAATAATGTTTAATATCGCAAGTGCCGAAAATGTTCATACAAAATAATTGCTCGGAATGTTATAAATCAAGAATGTATTTTATTGCCATTGCTTTAAGTACTAAAAGTAAGTCACCCTTATATGAAGAGGAATAAAAACTATTTCTCAAGACTGCTTGAAATATCAAATCGTAAACAAACGCGACTCAGCCTTTCAAACGTTGTTTTATTGGTGTCCCTTTCCCGCGAACGTTTGCCGCGCTTTTTACGTTTTCGAAATAAACGTTGGCGGCATTTGAAATAAGGCGCGAGTAAATTTGGTCGAAGTCTGCCAAGGGAAACCTGAAGAGGACTAAGCGCTTTTTTGAGATACTTCTTATACCAAAAATATCGCAAAGTGTTTTAAAAATATAGTTTTTATTGCCAATTACGTCTATACCTTGATAAAATCGGAATACAATGGTTATTTCAAGTAAAATTGGACAAAATAATTTTTAGCAGAAAATGTAAGGAGTAAAAGTGTGCAGTTGAATACAGACTTTATCGCATTAGCTCAGAGTTGAATATTGAATAATATAAATACGACAGACGTCACGGATATTCGTCGAACAGACATATAATTGGCTTTTTACAGTTGGCGGCAATGAATCCGTCAGCCAATCACGTTCAACATAGATGGCGCTTATGTGCCGACGCGAGACGACCCAAGCTAGCTAGCACCGGGAACATTGCTTCGAGCTCCATACATTTTCTTCTGGTTCTCTACGTCTGCAGTTTGGTTGTGTACCAGTTCAAAAATTATTTCAAAATTTTTGCCATCAGGTAAGTCCTCACTATTTTATAGCAATTTCTATGTGTTTAATTATTCTCAAATGTGTTTATTATTGCATGAATCGATGAAAAATATTTCAATCCACGTTGGAATTCTCGGTCAAACATGGCTATGGGCATCGCCGTACTTCGCTTAGTACGCGTGGGTATGGAACAAGACGCCCTATTTTAAATAATTAATTTCTCGGTTCTTTTCCATCAAAGGTATTAAACCGATCTTCTACAAGTTATAGGTTATTACATTAGTGATTATTTGGTAATTATGTCATCTACAGTAATTGCGTATTTTCTACACAGTTCGTGAAAACAAAATGGCTCTTTCGACCCAAGCGCAGGCCAGTGAACTCGATATAAGGACCGATAACTATTTTAGTTGATTATCGCATTAATAATTACTACAAATATATAGCTTTTAATATTGTGATACCACGTTTTATAAAAATGGCTGTGTAGAAACGTGAAATAGCCTAGATTAGCCCTAAATATGTTTCCCGCCAAAACGCGTCCTTACTGTGCCGTATAGATAGTACTACAGCACGCTAGCTCACTTTTGTTGTAATGTTGAATTAGTATTAGCTTCGGCGAATGTTTTTATTCATATTTTTAATTAAAATCTTTAATTATTTGCAGGAAAAAAGTTAAAATGACGGACAAGCCTAAGCGTCCAATGTCTGCATACATGTTATGGCTAAATAGTGCAAGAGAACAAATCAAAGCAGATAATCCAGGCCTCAGAGTCACTGAAATTGCCAAAAAGGGAGGAGAAATATGGAGGTCAATGGAAGACAAAAGTGTAAGTATATTACTTGTGTTCTTTTATTGTCTTGTTTGTTTTTTATTACTAAATTATTTTTACATTACCAGGTTTGGGAGGCGAAGGCCGCCAAAGCGAAAGAGCAATACACAAAAGATCTGGAATCATACAATGCCAATGGAGGCGGTGGTGAGGGTGGTGGCAAAAAGGCACAGAAGAGAGGAAAGAAGGGCAAGAAAGCTACCGCTGCGCCTGCTGTAAGTTATCATTTGTTGAATACTCAATCACAACAAAGTAGATAGTTTGTACATTCTTCTAATATATTTTGATATTTACAGAAATCTAAGAAGAAGAAGGAGGAGTCTGAAGAAGAGGAGGGTGAGGAGGAGGAAGAAGAAAGCGATTGATCTCCCAACTTAAATGGCATTTCTGTTCATATTGAATAATTTTCTTAAACTTAATTTATTACAAATTAAATAAAAAAAGGACTGACTTTCCAATATCTGTATGAATTACCATTTTATATAAGTATATTTCTTATTAATGATTTTCTAATTTTTCTGAATGCAAAAGCTAAATTATTTATTTGGTCAATTTTTTAAATTTCTGATTATTTTGTAATGTAATTTTTTGTTATATAATAATATAGTGATTACATTTTGTGTGCAGAGTTTGGAAAGTTCCACCGCAGGCTAAGGTCTAGATTACTAAGCCTCAAAAAAATAATGTTTAAGTGTTAAGCATGTATACACTGGGGAATTGTACAGTTAGCCCTCCCTCGTTAAGTTCGCTGTGACACCTGGATGCTCATTTTAAGTACCTTGTCTGGTTTTATCAAAACTTTTATGTCGGCATCACTTTGTCTTGTGTTTAAAAGCTGTGCTTTTTAAATTGTTTGCCATAACTGTAATCTTCCGTAGGTCATTTCTGTTACGGCATAAGAGTTTTGATCAATCTTTTTATCCTTATGTAAAATTAGAGACAATTTCATGAAGATGTGAATGGCTTATTGTTAATTGAACCTACCTCTTGTCGTAAATTTCAATGGTACCAAACCTTAATTTAAGACGCCGCGAGAATACAATCTCGTATCTCATTCAACAATTTAAATAATTTAGGAAATTGATGTATGTTGTATTTTAAGTTAGTTATAGGTAGGTTTTCAATGTGATTAGTCTCTTAAATTTTACATTTGTGTTATTATGAATGAGAATTAGCATTCCTCATGTCAATACGGATTTTACATGTTCAATAAAGTAATTTCATATAAAAAAATGTTGTCTTTATTGCCCTTTACCGAATATATTCATTTCATGGAGAACAATTTGGAATTTCTAACTTTCTAAAAAAGTCTTCTCATGGTTTTAATGAGGTTACTTAAAAAGGTCGCTAATAAAAAATGGCATCATGTTTTTGATGACGCACTAAGTGAATTGTCAATACAGCGTCGTTATCAGTGCTGCCAGCATATCAGGAGGGAAGTCAATTATATTTTAAAAATCAATAAATTCTGATTTCCGACCCACCCCAAAGTTAATAAACCAAATATAAATTTTATGTTTAATTGATATTAGCTTCATATTATGCTATTGAATGCAAAATGAATTCTTACAAGTTACCTAAGTATAATAATGTCACTCAGTATACTTATCACATTTAATTAATTTGGTTGGAAAATTGTAATCCCTGCCTACCCCTCAAAATTTCAGATTTGAGGTGTTTGTCTATTTTCATAAGTTCTGTTAAATTTTAATTATTTGTTGGGCAGTTATGAATATTTTTCAAATAAGATATAACCTAAAGGTCTATGTTACCAGTTCATAAAATTAAAAACTATATATTTTTTGGGTAAACACATGTCGAATATCAATCAAAGTAACTTGTCAAAATAAATTGTAAACAAAAATATTTTAATAAAAATATAAAACTACAATTATCCTATTTGAATATTTGACTATTAGATTCTGGATGGTTCAATTACTATCTAGTTAGTATAAAATAATCACCATTTTTATTTACAGTGTGCAAATTATACATTTTTGTAATTTCACTATTTAGATAAAATGTCTGGGGATGGTTCTGGTGGTGTCGGCGGTGGAACACAAGTGGCACTGGTTACCGGAGGCTATGACCACACAATCAAGCTTTGGCAAGCGCACAGCGGAGTCTGTTTACGTACTATGCAACACCCTGACTCTGTAATTACTTCTGTATATTTTGTCTGACCGATGCATGTTTTATCAATACAGTTAACTAAGAATCGTTTACATTACTTTTCATTAATAACACTTTACTAGAGAGCGCGCCACTCTCTGACTTAGAGGTATATAATGTACAATGTGTAATATAACAGGTAACATCATATTGCAGGAGAAGGAAGATTTCTACCTGGTGATGATGTTCTAGGGTCCATTCCTTAGAATGAAAAATCCCAAAATAATCAATTATTATTCTCAATTTGAACATGTTAATTAATGTAAGGCTGTACAAGTACAATTGGTACCATGATTTTGTCTGCTTGTAGCAAGTCAATGATTTGGAAATAACACCAAATGGCCAAATGGTAGCTGCATGTGGCTATCAACACATCAGGATGTATGATCTTGCCAGCGCCAATCCAGATCCTGTGATGAACTTTGAGGCTATCACTAAAAATGTATCAAGAGTAGGTTTCCAGGTTAGTTAATAAAAGATTTCAATAATAAAGTAAATATTGATTTAGTGACAGTTTAATAGCATTGCTTTCATGGGTCACTTAATATCTTAAATACTGTATAAATTAAATTTTATTACAGGAAAATGGGCAATGGATGTACACAGGAGGTGAAGATTGCACAGCAAGGATATGGGATCTAAGGTACTTTAAATCTTTTGCCTTTATTTATAACATGACAGTACATGGTCCAGAGCTTCATTCATTATTAAAATAAAATACCTTAATAGTAAGCATAAAGCATCATTTTGTTTGTAAATATCTTTTATATTTCAATATAATGGATAAAAAAGTTATTGTAACTGTGTTGGGTTTGTAGGGCAGGGCGACCATTCCAGTGCCAGCGCATCTTTGAGGTGCCAGCACCAGTGAATACAGTAGTGCTGCACCCAGACCAGTCACAGATTATGGTTGGCGGCCAGAGCGGCATCATACACATATGGGACCTCAAGACTGATCACAATGAACAACTGGTAACATTTAATTGATATGATTGTTTGTAGTTATATGAAAATTAAATAAATGCAAACAACATAAACATAAATTTTATGCCAAACAGAATTAGGTGGCCAAAATTAAAAAAAATATTGTGTAATTTTACAATAAAAACTCTTGCTAACAAGCCAGATTTTAATTTTGTAACTTGGTTGTGTTTTTTTAGATACCAGAAGCAGAGGCATCTATCCAAGATATAGCGATTGATCCATCGGGTAAGCTGATGGCTGCTGTGAACAACAAAGGCAGCTGCTACGTGTGGTCGCTGGCGGGCAGTCCACCGCGCCCCGCGCCTCGCAAACATCTGCGCGCGCACAACAAATACGCGCTGCGCTGCAAATTCAGCCCTGACTCCACGTCAGTATGACTACCATATTGTTGATACAGTTCACTGCGTATATTGTTTTTTTAGATCATAACTAATGTGTCGTAATGGTGTCCAGTATGTTAGTGACGACGTCAGGCGACTGCTCGGCGCGTGTATGGCGCACGAGCGACTGGTCGCTACTGCGTGAGCTGCGACACGACGCGCAACGTTGGGTGTGGGATGCAGCCTTTAGCATCGACTCACACTACCTCTTCACTGGTGAATATTGCTTACATCAACACTTCTCCATTTACTCATCCACTGATAATTTAAAACCAATTTTTTTTAAATCATAAATGTAATATGTACATTTCTACTTGCCATGAGCTTTAACAATTGAAATACTGGCTTAGAAACAAGTTATGTATGTTTTTGATGTGGAAAAGTACACTTTTAACTTTATTAAATTAGCATTTTATGCCATTTGGAATTGATTTAAATGTTAATATGTGAATGTTATTATTGTAGGTTCATCAGACAGCTATGCAAGACTTTGGGATCTAGAGAAAGGCACATTAGAAAGGGAATACTGCGGACATCAGAAACCAATAACTGCTTTAGCATTTAGAGATCAAGCTGTGTAAGCCAATATACAAATTAAAAGACAATTCCTTGGCGTAGTATTTGTATGCCATGACATATAAGTTTACTCTATGTTCACTGGAATCCTACAATTTATGTCCGATTGTACATACCACTGTATTATTGTGTTCACATTTACTAAGTAAATGTTACAATGTAAGAAACAAAATAAAACTCAAGTATGCACTACAGTCATTTTATTTTATCAAAGCCAGGAAAGCTTAATACATTGAAAGCTTAGACAGATCTAGTTTTTTATTTCAATTATATTGATTACAGTATTACCAAATAAAAATATTTTTTGACATTTGAGATTTTACTAAGACATAAAATATATTTTTATAGACAATGGACTTATACAGTACAATAAAAGTCCTGTCTCGGTCCATTCATTTCAAATATTAGCCGGAACAAACACACTGATAAATAAAAATTGAAAAAAATGTGTATATACCATATACATTCATATACATGTTGTAAAAAATGGCTATTACACAATTACAAACAGACACTCTAATTTTATTTATATGTATAGATGAATTATTTTTGTTGGTTATATTTTTCCTATAATCTGGTAATCAGTATTAGGCAAAAATAAAACTTGAGTTATACTGAAAACTATTCTAGAGAATAATATTTCGATATACTGTATATCAAAAACAATTACATCACATTTCTTTATGTATTTAGGCAAATATAAAAAAAAAACAAACGGAATGTATCAACCTGTAAATAATATTTGTTCTCTATGTTTTTCAATATTTTTTTAAAAGTGATGCTTCCACAAACTTATCACAGTAACATATTTGTTTTGTTAGATTTTTATAACTAAATTACATGATTTAAAATTATATAAATATAATTGAATTTGAGATAATTTATGTCTTTCTTTGTCTTTCGTGTTAAATGCACATTTATACTATAAATAAGAAATCAATGTTTGTCTTTTTTTTTTAATTTCTGAAAAGTTTCTGGCACAAACATAAAATTTTTCCTCTTTTCTTTTTTTCCCCGTATTAAGCTACTTTCTAAATAGTTTTTGTTACATTTTCAGACGTAATATTAAGTTCTACATATAATGACTTAACATATTTAATTCTTAAAATGTTAATAAGTATTTGGGATGTTATTTTGCATATAAAAAATTTAAAATAATTTAGACTAGAATATAATTGATCAATTTTAAACAGCATCATAAAGCGAGCAAGAAAAAAATCTTTAATAGAATGTATAGAAAAATTGAACTAAAAATATAAAAAAAAATAATATGAAAAATTAAAATAAGTAACATATTTGTTATTTAATTTAAGTACATATATGAGGATAAATAAATTACATTGCACGATACATAATTATGATATTACATTTATCTGACACAATGGCAATAGTCAAGTTTTTCAATTTAAAAGTACTAACTCAATAAACCTTTGTTTGGAGAAAAACGTCTGTTCACAATTATTCTCTCACATTGTCTTTGAAAAAAAAAACCATAGATAATATATTTTTGTACCGGTTTTTAATGAATTCACAATTACAAAAATCTATTTAACAGCTTCACTATTTTATAAATCAATCAAATTTAATATACTTATTCCCAACTGTCACAAAAACTACCCAGGATGCATCATGATTTTTTTAAATATCTCTTCCATAGATAGTTGGAGCGAGCATATTTTGTAGTCAAAAATAAACGATTGAGGAACAAATTATGAGCATCAATGTCAGCACCGCAAAAAAAAATCACTGAAAATCATCAGTTTAGTTTTTTTTTGTGAATAAGTTAGATATCATCTAGTGGTAAGTTGTCAGCCTCACCCATTTCGGAGTACATCTCGTCGTCACAATTGTAGGTGAGGACGAACTTGAGGTGCGTGCGCGTGTGCAGCGCGGGCCGGCCCACCAGCATCAGCTGGGTCAGCGCCGGCGGCGGCAGGAACGGGTTGTAGGCAGGCAAACTGCTACCCGAGGCCGGGAGTAAACGCACCTTACAACCCTAACACAACACAGGGCATTTAATATTAAAAATGAAGAATTTTTAAAATTTTCAATCGTAAAAAACTCTTGAAAAAAATTTTTTTGGAAAATAGTATTAATACCAATATTGTCTTTATCAGTTTTACCACCATTATTTTTTTATATGTTTCAAAGATTAAAACAATGATTCCGCTATTTATTACTTACCTTTGGCAGTACCGCTTGGAATTTATAATCTTCTATGGGCGAGGTGTTCTTACTTGTAGTAGAAATGACTATAACATTGACATCTGGACGTGGTTTGTCCCTACAGAAGTGTAGGACTACGGTCAGACCACCCTCTTCTTCAAACACAGTCAACGGAGGCACTTTGCTCGGTCTTATACTTTGTAATGTCACATTTATATCTGTCAAAGGTTTCACATCACTGTATTTATTACTTTTAGTTGTATCTTTTGGTTCAGAAGCATTGACTTCTGTTTTAGTCACTGTTGAATCTATGTTAACATGCGTGACATTATTGACTAAAGGTAAACCTAAGTCTAGAATACTGTCCAAGGGACTGTCTTTAGGACTATTATCGATGTTAGGTGTAATGTCGACCATAACATCGTCATTGATTTGTTTAGCAGCTTCAGATGTTTCCGGAGAATCAACTTTTTCATCTTCTTTCTTGATGAAGAAGTCCAGATCAAACAATGAACTATCGTTTGTTGTTTGGGCTTCGTGTTTAGGTGAAGATACCTCCAAAGCATTCATGGGTATCTTTTTTACTTGTTTACTAAAATAATGTAAAATAAATTGTAGTCTACATATATAAAAGAAAGTTATGTTAGTTTACACTATTTATAACTCAAGAACGGCTTTACTGATATGGTTGGAAATTGGAAGTTGGTGAGGAGGTAGCTTAGAGCCAGGAGACATAGGATACTATTTATTCATTTTTTTTTCGAATTTATACCTTGAAGAGCCGCTTTTTATTTAACTTACTAATATTATAAATGCGAATGTTTAGATGGATGTGATGTGAATGGATGGATGGGTGTTGAAAGATATCTCTAGAACGGTTGAACTGAGTTTTAAATATGAAAAATAAAAACATTTCATTTAATTGTAACATGAAATGATTAAAATTAAAATAATGCTATAGAAATTTTATAAGAGGGCAACAATAAGTAACATATTTGAATTTTTATTTAAAACTCACCCACTAAAACTATCAATACGTTTGGCGTTTTCAGGCAAGGATTGCTTAAGCAATTGCTCTCCGAGACTGTCTAATTCATTCCAGCCTTCAGCCTTATTTGTCTTATCACCTAAGAGATCAATGTCTTCTGGAAAGTTTAACAAAAAAAAATATCACATAAATAACTACATCTTATATATAAAATTCTCGTGTTACAATTTTCGTTTCCATACTCCTCCGAAACGGCTTGACCGATTCTTATGAAATTTTGTGAGCATATTGAGTAGGTCTGAGAATCAGCAACTATCTATTTTTTTTTTATCCCGCATGGACGGAGTCGCGGGCGACAGGTAGTATAATAATAAATTTATTTACAATTACAAAATCTAAAGCATATATTACCCTTAAAGTACTTACCATTTTGTATAAGACTAACAGGTTTCAATGGCGAAGCAATATTTGAACTATTTCCATCTGAAAATATATCTCCCAACTCATCTATTACATTAGGCTTATTGACCAATGTAGTATTTTTTGCCACACCAACATTTTTATTCATTATTGCCCCAGCAAAGTCTAACAATGTGTCATTATTTGTAGGTTGCATATCTTTTGTTCCTTTCAACTGTTGCGTTTTCTGCGAAACAAATTCTTGATACTTTTCCGAGACTTCCACCAACACATCATGTGCATGAAGGATATCATCTGAAATGTATGGTCAAAGATTATGATGTCATGACACTGGACATCTATTGGTAATCGTCTATTGATTAAAATATTGTTATTACATTACACATACATACCCAGATTATCAGCTTGTGTGTCTAATGCAGCAAGACGTTGCAACGCTGGTCGGAGTCGCGCACAGCTTGCGTGAAGCTCATGTATGAGCTGCTTCTCGTCATGGGAAGCGTCCCCAGCACGTGCCAACATGTCACGCAATAGACCCGCGCAGTCCAGCGCCGCGCCAACCTCCTGAGCGCGTAAACTATTCGCTTCGTTACGACGCTCCTCCTATGTAACAAAATAAACATTATTAGTAAAAAGAATACTGCCTGTAACTCAGAGATTATAACAAAGCTATTATTAATATTTAACAAAATATAAACAACTTTACAAAAATTATAAATAAGTTGCAATGTTAAATAAATTATTCCTTTTATTTATCCTCATTTTCTGTGCCTACTATTTTTATCATTGTTTTAAATACAGTTGAACCTGGATAAGATACCTTAATAAGCAACATTATCTAGTCCCAAAGGAAAATCTCCTTTAGAGAGAAATATCAGTAAGAGAGAAACCTCTATAAGTAAAAATAACATTGTGGTCCCTCAGACTCTCTCTCATCCAGGTTCAACTGTACATCTAAATCAGTAGCAAACTACTATGATGAAATCACAACATAATTCTGTATGGTTAAGTACTGTCAGTTACTTACCTCTCTCACCATAGTTTTAATTAACTTATTTGCATGTTGTAAGTCCTCTGGCCTTTTACTTTGAAGCAGTTTTTGCAATAATCTAGACTTCTCTTCATCCTCAAATATGGCATTTTTAGCTCTAGGCCGTGCGGAGAAGGTAGCATCCTCTGGAGGCAATGGAGGTGGAGTTTCCTTCACCACCCCTTGATTTCTTAACATATCAAATGCAACTTTGAACTTTGTCTCTTTCGGGTATTGTGTAGACCAGGCATGTAATAATTGTAGAACCTGAATATTTAATATTAAATTATGCAATCAAATCAGGAAAATAAAATATTATTATTCTGTCTACTATTGATTGACGACTTACTTTAGTCTGTACTTCAGGTGATGTTCTATTAGCTAAATATTTAGGCGACACAAGTTTTATCATTTCATTCAAAAATCTAAATTTACCAATTTCATTTTGGAATGTTATATCACACCGGCGCATACAGCGATCAAGCATCGACAGAGCGAGTAGGGCTTCTCGTGCGTTTTGAGACTGAATTCGTGCAGCAAGCGCCTGAGCGGCAAGTTGTGCACCGTCTACTGAATCTTTCATGA